ACAACACGGCGCTGACGAACGGCAACCTATCCATTGTGCCCCGACCAGGCCTGGCAAGTGACTTGTTGCCCACCGGTCCGGGCCTAGACTTGTGTGGAACCGAGTCTGCAGCTATGTCGCATTGCCACGGCTTCGGCTGTATCACTCACCTCGTGCTTCAGCCAGCACCCGAGCCCCAACCCGCCGTCTCCTCGGACCCTGTGCTCACCAGCAAGAACAGCCAGTTGTCGCTGATTGGGGGCTCAGCCCTTGGCCCGCTAATCAAACCAGCGCCCGTCTGCTTTTGCACAGGGTCACAGGCAATTCAGGACTCCGAGGCACCAGTAACCTGTACCAAGCCGAGGGCCTGTTTCGATGATGCCACCTGCAGGTGGGGTTGATCCAGAATTTAACCATTTCCATCCCTGCCTAAGTCAAATATGCACCTGAATATCGTCTTCGTGGCCATTAAAATAAGGGCGGATTTTTCCCGAAAAGTCTCTTTAGCTAATCTGAAAGAGTTCTTGATGGAGTGCATTGGCTACAGCTTTTGTTACGCTAGCGACGAGGTCAGATCAGCACAGATTTGTACCTTAAGTGTCCAATGTTCACTAGCAAATACGACACACCGAATCCCTTTCGGATTCGTTTTCCTAACTCTAAGCGTACGCCACAAAGGTCATCATTGAAGAAGCCTCGGCAGAAGAGCAGAGGTCGTAGTATAAGGTAACGAAAGGGAAGGCCTCTTGGTGAAGGTTTATCAGCTATTGGCGAATAGGTACGTACACATTAGATGCTCACGAGCAAACTAAATACAGACTTGATGTTACACTAAAATGTGGCTTTTATTTGCCTGTTTTAAGGAAAACATATACCAACCACTACTTTGTTGTTCTCTCATGTGCCAATCGCCATTATCGTGACTGGACTTTTCATTCCGAAAAAAGTAGATTGAAAGAAATCAGTGAATAGGTTTGACCGGAAACCGAAGGAGAATTGCCGCGGAGTGAAGACTGTTGGATTGTGCAAATTAAGACTTGGCCCAACGTCCTGAAACCCTGATTAGCCCATTCGCATATTTTATCTGTAATGTGACAGACATAATCAGAGCAGGAAACTATACTTTAAGGAATAGCGTACCAATAAACTATATAAAAGGAAAAGGCTCCTTCTGGTAGAGTATGCGTTTTTGCACTGAAGATGTTCGTCACATGACCGACTAAAGCTTAACACGGGTTTATCGGAGTCACAGGAAAGTGAACCAAAGGCATCCTCGCACAATTCTTTAATACCTGATCATACGAAATCACAAACTTTTCTATTGGAATGGCAAGTCGGGCCACATAAACTCACCCAAGGGTTCTTAAAAATCCGGACTTTCTTTAGAATCACCATTGTCCCCTTCAAACTTCAATAAGACTGTTTTGGTAATTTATACAATATTCCGCAAATATCTCTTCAAAGTAAATTGTCGGGCTCAATATACCCGTCTGATATTTTATATTCATCCGAGCTCTGAGTTGCGAAAGTACTGTTTTAACATCTGTTATTCATTGGTGTTAAGAAACATGGTCTTCTGTACAAGTCAATTGTCCATTAAATACTTCCTTCCCAACTCTAAACCATGTTTGGAGTAGAAGTTGTTTGACCTCGTTTTCGCTACTTGATCATATTGGTAGGAAGACCTAGAGGAGCGCACCTAATCCGGAGTCCATAATATGCATGATAATTTCCAGAGTCGGATCGTGGACGTGGTACATTCCCAAACGTTTCGTCGGCACCGTAATCGGCATTGACAGTTGACCAAATGTCTGCTAAGCAATTGTGGTATCTTTCCTTCTGCCCTTTTCTATTCACCAATCCTATACCCTCGTATCACCACTTCAATAGACAATTTCTTAATTGCATATTTAAACGTGCTATGGGGTGTCTTTTTGAGCGGATTTCATCAGAACTCTTCACACCCTACACTGGCTTTCTCACCCCCTCACTCCTCTTCATCCTTGTGTTGGGAATGTGGATCAGAGTTTGACATACTATTCCGCAATCCTGTTCCATTAAGTCTTATCAGAATTTCCCTTTTTGCCCTGTAGAATCCGCATCCTACCTTCCTGGTTCAGGTATTTCACTCGACCCCTGCCACCCTATCTGTTCTACTTGAGGCGTTATTTTTCACACTGTCTCAAGCCTTTGATAGCACGAATAATTCCGCCTCGCTGAGTAGTCTCCTAAAAATCGGGATTCTCAAGGTGGATGCGAAACGAACTTGAGACTAAAAAGCTCGAATAATTATCATGTTTAATCCTTTGCTTCATGGACTTATCTATGATGAAACACCTCAACTGTTAGCCAATTAGATCTAATCTCCACCGCATCTATCCCGTTTCTATCCATAGTACCAAGTCTATGAATTCCTAAACCCTAATCTCTTGCGTGCCAGCTCATAAATGTTGTGGTTCTACAGTGAACCTAATAAAAAAAAGTAGAACCACAACATTTGTGGGTTGGCACACAAGAGACTAGGGCATAGCAAGTCGTAGACTTGGCTCTAGGGCTAGAAGCACGATAGTTGCAGTGGAGACTAAAGCTAATTGGCTAATAGTAGACTTGTTTGATCATAGACGTACTTGATAATGAGAATCACGCAAAAGCTTTAGCCTCAAGTTAGTCTCCCATCCAGCTTGAGAATCCTGATTTTTAGGTTCCTATCCAGTGAGAAGATAGTATTCGTGCCTTCAGAGGCTTGAGACAGTGTGGGGGATAACGCCTCGAGTAGTACAGATAGGGTGGCAGGGGTCGAGTGTAATACCTGAACCAGAAAGGTAGGAGGGGGATCCTACACGGCAAGACATATTGGAAAAGGATTGCGGAATAGTTTGTCAGACTCTGATCCACACTTACAACACAAGGAGTAAGAGGGGTGAGGTGAGAAAGCCGGCATAGGGTGTGGAGAGTTCTCATGAAATCCGCTCAAAAGAACACGCCATAGCACATTTAAATATGCAATTAAGAAATTGCCATAGTGAAGGGGTGATACGAGGGATGTGCAAGCTAATTTTTCAAAATGTCTTTATTGTCCATATTACATTGACCTATATGGTTATTCATCTATAATTTCGACATCTACTCGGTAGATTAATCATTTCACCATTTATACAGTATTTAAGCAAGCCAAAAAATAATAAATATATGCAGGTCCATTGATATTTTGACGCTTACTTCTTTTGACTTTGGGATGAAATAATCTGTCCACCAGAGGGCGATAGAAATGCTATCCGATATGCAGTGACTTAATTGTGAAGGAATTTCTAACTTTTTAGGCACATTGCCTTCATCCTACGATTTGTATGAAGACGTCCAGTGCTTGTTAGAATCTGTTACTTCCTTTTGAAATGATTATGTAGCCTTAGAGATGTAGTTAGTTTATGTGACTAACTTTATTTTCCTAATAGATTTTGAGGAAATCCGGTATTTTATTAATCACTTCTAAGGGCGAAGGGTGTTTTCTATTCATTTTAATAAGGTCAAGGCCAGTAATGCTTAAAATAAAAATAATGTCAGTCATTGTAGACTAATTAAAATGACCTATCATATGCTGATTTGGCTTCCTCTGCGGCGGTCGTTAAGCGAAGATACATTCATGACACATTTATGAGATCACTCGACTTGGATGAAAGGTAAAAAAAGACCACATAATTCCTAACTCCTTAATCCACATAGCCCAAGGTATTTAGTTAGTAAGGCTTGTAATAATTGACAATGCATTTTGTTCTTACTCATCTTTGACACCTTTCAACTGGCTATTCAGGAAAGGAAAGATAAATCATTCATTGAAACTATTTGGCCCATACACTGGCCTGTTTAATAAAGGATCGCTCAATGGATGTGCGAGACTTAAAAGTTAAGCTTACAAAGTACCAAGTTTGAGATTTATCTTAAAGTTTACTCGAATAATATTTTAACGCTAGAATTCATTCTTTCACTTTAGCTAATTCAATGAAGTTATTAGGTCCATTTTGATTTTTGCATCACCCAGGGTTACTATATAAACATAAACTAGTGGATTCGGTTATTGTAGTTATCTGTTGCTGATTTGGGTCGAGTTTATGTAAGAGAATTTTATAGGGCTTATAAACTGTGTTTTGGGTCAAATAGGCCTGAATCTTTAATCACTCTTTTACGTTTCAATTTGCGCCACTTCTCAATCATATAAGGGCCGATTAATAGACGGAAACTTTCCGTGTAAAACAGTGATATTTATGCATGGGATTTGACGCATGGTCATCTTTGCTCTGGAGTATATCCTAAAGTTGTCGCCTGTACAAAATGCTTATCCTACCCTTGTGTTCTTGTTGTGATCAGCATGGAAACCGGTACTCAAACAACCTCCTGCGCCTGCAGGCCCAGCATTCATGAGGGTCCTCGATGTCAGCAACTTGAAATTGCCTTCACTCAACCCGGCTTCGCCTGGACATCTGGGCTCGGCAACTGCGCCCGCCTGCATCTACAATTCTGGTTCACCAGCCTCCAGACAACCTGGCCAGTTCTGTTGGTCTACGCCGGGCCAGCAAATAGTCCAGATGCGTCTGGTAGCCAGGGCGACTTTCTGGCCATAGAGTGGACGGCCCAGAATGAGCTGACTGTCACTGTTGACCTCGGAGGTGGGCCAGTCAGCCTGAAGCCCAGCTTGGGCAGCACAGGCAATTTCAACGACGGCATGTGGCACCGGGTTGACGTTATGTTGGTTCCAGAAACGGTAAACAGACATAAGTTAATGCCTATTTCTTCTACACATAGTGAGTATATTTCGAAATTACCAATAGATCCTGAAGAAGGACGTTACACACCTTAAATTGCTTGAGATTGGTATTCGCCACAATGAAATGAATAGACCTCAAGAGAATAGCGAATTTCACCCAATATTTCATTAAACTTTCGAAATGAGGTGTGTGTCTGCTTTGGTGTGTGAAATAATAACAGTTCTCCATTTTACAGTTGAGATACAGAATCCCATCACTTTGGGGTGTTAGTGATGGAACAGCTTTCTGGGCGGAACGGCTATATAAACTTCAGTATCACTGAGAAGCTTAATCATTTCATTGTTGGAACTTTTATTACCAGACCCTATCAGCAATCTAGGACGGCTAACATTCTAAACATAGCTCTTTTATTTGACAGACTGGGATTTTTAACGGAATTAATGCGAAATGAAAGAACAATGCTTTTCGTAACTAATACAATTAGAAAAAGGATATGGAGTTTCAAGGTGGACTAGAAAAAATGGGATAACCTTAATATATTCTATTTATATTCCGTGAGTGTTTCGAGGCTATCAGTAATTCTGGCTTAAGAACGTAGTTTTCCTTAGTCGCCTAAAGTGATTTAAAGACTGAAACTCGAGTTCTTAATATAGGCATATGAATAGGCTCCACGATGCTAATGGAGTTCACCTGGGCTTAGAAGTTGTTTGACATTGTTTTCGCAACTTATTCATATTGACAGGAAGACCTAGAGGAGCGCACATAGTCCGGAGTCCATAGTATGCATGATAATAAGGAGATTTGGACCGTGGACGTGGTACATCACCGGAAATTTCGCCTGTGAACCTTGCCATTCTTAGCACCACAGTACAACTCGTCAAAAGAGATAAGTACACACAGGCCATACCATCTTGGTCTTCATATATGCTTAGAAGTATATCCTAAAGTTGTCGCCTGTACAAACTACTTAACCTAGCCTTGTGTTCTTGTTGTGATCAGCATGGAAACCGGTACTCAAACAACTTTCTGAGCCTCCAGGCCCAGCATTCATGAGGGCCCTCGATTGGCTGGCCTCAAAAATGTCTTTCTTATCAAGGGTCGACTGCAATTTTGATTTAGTCCATGTAAGAGCATCAGCCACAAGGGCATTCAAAACCAGATTTTACATGTCATGATGACACTTATCAGCTCTTCTGCACAGACATAGGCGACTGTTGGTCACAGGGCATGTGTGATTTTCAAGGCAGACTTTCATCTTCAGCTTAGCAACATTATCGCATTTGCCAATTTGGGTTTTTTTTATTAGCACACCTAGGGATACTTTGTTATGGAGACGTAATTTAGCCATAGCTGCCAGCTCATATAATCAGGACAAGACTTTGATCAAACCCTCGATCCATCCTAGTATCTTGCATGCTATCTGATAAATGCTTTAGCATGTGGTTCTATCCCAATCCAAGCATCACCCCTGTTTTTGTTTTCCTTAAGTCAAATTGAGGTGGTCAGCTAATGATCGAAGTTGGGGGGGCTTTCATTTCGTATGAAAGTGCATGAAGAAGAGATTCGTAGGTCGATCTCACCAGAAAACGATGGATGAATCCCGTTGTGCTGCAACCATTTGGCTTTTATACGATGTTCCGATTAACGCAGTCCACGAGACTTCCTCCATAGTTTTGGGTGAAAACTGGCTGAGCTTCCGTCCAGCATATGATTGACATCATTAGAGCTGGGTCTCAGTCCTGTAAAAGTCTCACGTTAACACCAGGGCAAGAAGGATATCCGGCTCTGTCTTACCTCCTATATATACTCAATTAAGCCAAAAGAAGATTAAAAACCAAAATATATATAAAGTGGTTTTGCTAATTATATTTCATACTGGTCCTGACACTTCTGCTCGAGTGTGTGCGTGTGTGTATAAGTGTGACCGTCTATACGCAATACCGGTTCTAAATCAGAGTTATTAAAAGGATAATGTTTGCTCATGTGGTCGATGTTATGTTCGTGAGACATGTCGAACTATTCAACAAAGCTTGGGTGAACACAAAAATGCTTGG